GAGCTATCCATTTTTTTACAGTGTTTTCTTTCTTCTCTTCATGGGAGGTGAACAAAGAGCCACAAAGCAGTGAACATTTTCCAATCATACTGAGACTGTTTATAGTCACCGCTACCTGACTCGAATGCCACAATAGAAGATAAAGAAGACCAACTAGCTTTCTTTTACCATTCTCTTAGAGGTTGATCCTGCCATCATTAACCTATCCTATGTTTATGACTGTGTGAAGGCAGTAATTAATCATAATTGTCCAGACAGCTGTATTTACCATCCCTAAAACCTCCACACATTTTCCATGATATCCTCATCCATGGTGGATAGTTGACAGCCTATGAGCAAGAAAGGCTCAGATGGGGCTTGGGATATCCTTTTACAGATATCTCACTCTAACACACCACACATCCTTTCAGAAGGCACGTGCCCGTACCCAGCAAGTCAGACATTAAAGCAGAAAAATATTGGATTAAATTTCCTACTAGTATCTCTTCCACCAACAGTTCCGAGGTCAATTAGAATAAGTTTAGAAAGATAAATGGGAAGTCTGCATTCCAATCCCTTTCAGTCTTAAAACCCAATGGCCAAAAAAGTTACCGATTTACAGGGTATTGCTAAAGCCCTTGGATAATGCTTATTCCGGCACTGCCACCTATTTTCCTACACTCTTAAACATTAATACACGGACCGAAAAATCCTCCAACTTATTTTCAACTTAATTGTTTATATGGCTATATCTAATCCTTTTCTTTGGAAGTTGAACTTTACATTGATCTCGAAATACATGATTCAGACCAGATGACGTACATTACAAAATGGTGTGCTATCTCTCTCCTGCCTCTCTCAATCTTCTTCTGGTTCTTCTCATTCCCAGGAAGGATCCTGAGATTTCTTCTAATTATAGTCCTATTGCTTTGACTAGTTGTCTCTATAAAGTTTTGGAGAGGATGGTTAATACTCACATTGTTTGGTTCCTGGAATCAAACAACCTCCTCTCCAACACCCAGTGTGATTTCCACAGACGGTAATCTACTGTGGAGAATTTGAAACGTCAATTCATGTAGATTGCATGACCATTTCCCTATTTTCTCCCATAAGCTTTTAAAAGTGGTCATTTTGGGTCAATGTGGTATCAATATTATCCTGATATTTCCCACAGGTGTTTGGTGTACCTCAGATTGTATATTGAATATTATACCTTTTATTATTAAAATCAATGCTATCATTGAACGACACATTCTGCAGTTGCAACAAACCTCTATGTCATTAACTTTCAAACTTCCTGTCAGTCATATAAATCCATTCGATTGGACTTCTGATGTCAGTAGGGATTGCACCCTGCTCCTGAGCTTCATCTGGAAGGTAAATAAATACCCTGTTACCTGAGACAAAGTTCTTGGGACCTCTCTGTGACATTAAATTGACTTTTATTCCACACAATAGGAAGCTTAATTGGTCTGACTTATCCTCTATATCCTCTTTTCCATCTCTTATAAAATGGATATATGTTCAAGATCTATCGTGTCTTCACTTGACCTAAGTTGGACTATGGATCTCTGATCTATCCCTTGGCTAGAGACTTACATTGAAGATACTGGACCCTGTACATCATCGGAGGCTTTGGCTCTGGACAGGGATTATCCACATTTCTCTAACTAAAATTTGTACATAGTCCTATGAACCACCACTTCAACTCAGACATTTGCACTTTTCTTTACAGGAAGCTACTAAGCTCCAACCTGCCACCCATTCCATCTAGCAATGTGTCTTATGCCTTGGTAGGTTCTGCTTTTTGCAAATACAAGGATTGATTTTCCAGCTTTTGACCCTTATGTCCAGAGAAAGTTGATTGAGATGGACCTGACATTAGATGATCTGCCCACGTTGGCTAGTTACCATTCCTACATCTTATGTTTCTTTGAGTGGCCTGAAGAAGTTGAGTACTCCCTACTGAAAATACCGACTTTTCTTTAACAAACACCTTTTAGCTATCCTTTTGTTTCTACTTTTACGGGTGACTCAAAATAGGGTAACTCTGGAGGTTCTGCTGTGGTTTGCTGCAAGTTTGTAATTGTTCACAGGATTCCCTCTACAGATTCGGTGCTCAATGCAGAGTGTTGTATGCAATTTAACTTGCTCTGTATCATATAACATTAACTGTATCATCTATACCAACTCACTTAACACTTTAAAGTCTCTGGAATCACTTAACTTTAGTTTTTACCCACTTCTCGTGGATATCCAGAAACATCTCGCCCATTTCGTTTTGTTATCTACCATTATATATTTTTTCGTGGTTCCAGGCTATATCTGTATCCAAAGGAATGAGCTTTCTGACTCCACAGCAAAATCAGTCTAGTCTGGCAATTTCTCAGACTTTTCTATCCCATATTTGAATTGCAAGCCTATAATCAGAGCAAGGCTTTTTCCAGTTAGCAGGCAATTCGGGATACGTAATGACCTAACAAGCTTTTCCACATAAAGCCTACTGCTACTAATTGTTCATCTAGTTTACATTTGCCGGAGAGAGGAAGTTGCCCACTTTCAAGACTTTGCATCAGCCATAGCTTTGTTACACATCATTTTCTCTTACAGGTGAATGATCTGCCAATGTCTGAACATTGTGATACTCAAAGTTACCATGTGTTTAGATTTTTACATGTCATGGGTACTTTTTTAGCTTTTCAACAATTTATATGTGCATTTTGATTTATCTATATTTAGTTCTTTTAACTAATATTTTGATAGTTTTTAATTTATTGGTACATATAGCCTGATACTTTTCATCATAAAAATCCAAAACAAACTATCAGTGAACCAAGTAGATGAGTGATATATATAGATTTATACAAGTTAGTATGAACTGAGATTTAATCTTCTCTTGAATATATCTAAAATGGGCATACTTACTGACGTAGGTAAGCTAGAATTGGAATACTTCATTATCACCTTGGTGTGACTTGTCAATGTTGCATGAAGACACTCCAATCTGTCTTCACTGTGTACAGAGATCTCTTGTCTTTCTCCTAGCTTCAGCAGACAGAAAAGATTTATGGTTTAACAAATACAACCAACCGCATTTCACTAAAACCCTAAACTACTCCATATCCAGTCACTAATAAAGGTTCATTAGTTAGCTCTGAGCTATAATCGTAACAGTCCGCAAAGTGGAAATTGCTGACAAAGCGGTATGTAGAAAGTTAAAGGCATTCCAAGTGATATCGAAGTGTTTGCATAATAGTTGAAGCAAACACCTTTTCATTGGCATTGATAACATGTTTGAAACGTTTCTCTGTTAGACCACATTCCTACACCTGTTACAAGTATCAAAGATCCAGACATATCATCTTAAATTATAGGAATTAATTGAAGCGTTCCACTTGTGGAGGGTCTCATTGTTATAATGACTGTACAGTAACCATGTCATATTGTAAAGATAAAATTAGATTGTTTATTAAGTCTAATTTCAATATATAGGTTAATCGTGCTTTATATCAGTGTTTCCCAAAGTGAGGGTCGTGAAGTTTTTTGGGAGCAGCCAAAAATGGGCCGAAAACAAAAATACTGAATTAATTTTAATTTTAAATAAACAATAAGCCGATAAGAATTATATTGAATTAACTAAATGATACGGTATGTCGAAAGGAGATGTTATTGTTTTTACTACGGCACTGTTTTTTAATCATCATGCTAAAGTAGTGAGGAGGTAACAACCATGTCAGTCGGTCGCGAGAGTGCTGATTTATTGTGTTCACACTTAAGCACCTATAACGTAAGCATAAGACAGGTTAGACTACACTTGATATACTTTTCGTAAAATGTTAATAACAGTGCTTATAGGTAAGGGGCCTCAAACATTTTTATTCACATCGAGGGAGCCTCAAACTAAAAGAGTTTGGGAACCACTACTTTATTACAAACGACTTGTAAATGCAAGTTGTGCTGCAACGGATAGGCTTGTAATTGGAAAATCGCAAAAAATCATTTCCAAAGAGAAATTTACATAGGGTTAGCTTTTTAAACGATGAAAAGTGAAAAGACACAACATTTTGAAAAAAGAAACCTTCAGAAAGGTGCTCAGAAGAATGTTTAGGACAGTACAGAGCTTTAGAAATGCATCCCAAACCAATCAGGAGCAGTGCTTTCATCTGCAAAGTGAAAACAGACTGTGGTTTTGAAAGTGGAACGTGTGATAAAAAACATTGTGATTAAAGTGGGTATACTTCTTAATACTATTAACAAGATAGTGAACAAGGATTTGAAACTTTGTAAGGATTACAACCCAGAAATGTATAAGTTTTTAGCCAGATTTCGAAATCAACAGCTTTTTCATAAAAAAGGTGGCAGAAGAAACTGAAATCAAAGCAGTTACCCTAATGGGCTATTGTGCGTTCAGTCTGCTTAAAAGAGGTCTTGGAAACCCATGTCCAAGTAGAGGCGGAGTTTGTTGACAAAATATCAAGGTGGAGTTTGAAATTGATCTCACTGTCTTTCGTAGAAGGTTTTTACAAAGGAAATTACGGTAATGGTCATCATTATATCTGTAAGGCTGAGCGTGATTGGTGAAATATTGAGTTCTAAATGTACCATAGGTTCTGAAACATCGCTCTTATATATAATTGATTAATTCTTTGTAAATGTCAAGCCAGTGCTGCTCCTCATCATCAGGTGGCTTTATGTATTTATTTTCAATGTTGCAAGGTTAAGTATGAATATAATGCCTTTTTCTGAGGTTGCATTCAGGGTTAGAAGACTACGTAAGTGTTAAAATGATAATTGAGTGATGTATCTTGAATAAGATGGCTTTGTAGTTTGTGAAACATAACTTGTAACTTTCTAGTTTTGTAGATGTTTTCATGTAATATGCCTGCCTCTAGCTGTACTCCATTGTACTGTTGGATCAGCAGTCTTAGTGTTTTGTTGGTAATAATGGTTATGATATATTACAACACAGACATGAGTAAATGAGGATTTTTTTCACGCTATTCCTATTTCTTATATCACAGAAACTTTGGATAATTCGTCTTCGACAGAGTTACAAGTAAAAATCTGTCAATACGTAAGTATGTATATATATATTTAATTGTTTCTAGATCATAATGTCTCAAAAAATCGAAATAAGCTTTTTCTAATAGGCTATAAGTGAGATCTTCAATTGAAATTATCTAACCTTCACATAGCAATTGTTTCTAATACATACATGAAATGTACAAATTACGAAATGCCAGCTATTACAGTGTTTAAAATCCAGTTAAAAGTTATGTTTGGTGACTATTAAACCCCTTTTTGCGTTTTAAACTTACAGATTTTTAGCAGGTTTGTGGAAAATCTATTTTAGAAATGACGAACCGATTAGAATGTTCAGGCTTACAAAGTTAGTACTAAGAAACAAAAACGACAATTATACCCAAAATGTATCTATATTCTGGCAAAAGAAGTATTAAAACTTATTTTACTATAAGAATAATGTCTCAAACTCTTAACTAGTTCTGGGGGGAATCCATGATGTTTTAAACTTAAAAATGGAAAGGTTTTTCATGACAATTTCTTCTTGCATTTATTAGTCGCGGCATAGCGGCTAATAAATGGCTCCGAGTTTTTTTAAGTACTATCTTTTAGCTCATAGCTCCGTCATCTCTTGACCGATTTGAGATATAATTACAGTTTTGAACTCAGGAGGTCAAACCCATGCGCTTGGTGTATTGTACCACGCCCAAGGTCTCATAGATTAATTTACTCTAGTTTTTTTCTAAAAGAATTTCAATTTGAGGGTAGGCTCGTAAAGATCCTGATGAGTAATAAATCGATTCGGGTATACGCGCGCCCCACACTTGGTATTTTTTGTTTGAAGTTAAGCACAAAGCTACACAATGGGCTATCTGTGCTCTGCCCACCACGGGTATCGAAACCCGGTTTCTAGCGTTGCAAGTCTGCAGATATACCGCTGTTCCACTGGGGGGCCCCACGCTTGGTATTTCTGGCGAACAAAAATGTAGCTACTACAAAAGGGGGAAAAAAGGTCTCATAGATTAATTTACTCTAATCCTGCCTGAAAGAATTTTAAGTGCCGCGACTATTGAGAATTCCCTCTTGTTACCCAACATTCCACTCTTCTATTCTTGATTCCACTCTCTTTTTCGCTTTTATTCACCAAGTGTCCTGTTTTCTCACTTTTTTTATTAACATTTTTTTATTCACGCATTCGAGCCCAAAGAAGCTATGTTATTAGCACGACGTGAATGCAAGTCTAGGAGTTTATCGTTCGCGGACCCTTTGCCACAAAAAAAAAAATGCTTTTCATACTTTGATACAGTGCTTGCGCTATAAGAATGGCAGTCACATTTCATTATTTCATCATCAAAAGTAATTCTAAATTAGATGGGCGATGTTCACTACTTATCTTTCCTTTAGTCTTTCACTTCAAAATTAGAACCGGCTATGGTTATGCTCAAGCAGCCCTCGAGGATCTTTGCGCGAAATTGAACAAATACAGTGTTTTTCAGATGAAAATAGTAAAGAAAAATTTTCCTTACAACTCCTACTTACTTTTAGTATTCAACTTCTCTTCATCTTCTCCCTTTCATATCAACTATGTTTCTCCTATCTTCTCTGTTTTTATATTAACCGACTTTTTATTCTCATTCTTCTGTGTTTTATTAATCAGTTTTTGCTCTCTTCTTCTCGTTTTCGTACTAACCAATTTTTATTCTCTTCTTTCTCTCTTTTCATCAACTTCTCCTCTTATTTTTCCCTCCGGCCCCCCAATGGCACAGCGGAATGTCTGCGGACTTACAAAGCTAGAAACCAGGTTTTGATACCCATGGTGGGCAGAGCACAGATAGCCTGTTGTGTAGCTTTGTGCTGAATTACAAACAACAGCTTATCTTTCCAACTCTTTTCACGTTTTTTATTGTTCATGGTTTGCTGTCTTCTGTCCCTGTTTTTGTTAGCTAACTTTCTTGTTCTTCTTCTTTTCACCAATTTTCCAACTCTTATTAATCATCTTTACTCTCTTTTCTGCTTTCATTATCAACTTTCAGTATCATTGGCCTAGTAATTAGCGTATAAGTCTGGAAATTCGAGGGCCAAACACGTTTTCTACATTCAGTTAATAAGTGTGATATTCAATCCATTATTCGACTAAGAGTAACCGTTTTACATAGCAGTTTGTGCTGACTGGTTGTCTTCCTTCTAGTACATAGTACAAAATTAGGGACGGCATCCTATTGTGTGTATAAGGTGCGTGATGTTCAGGAAAGTAAATAAACTTTCTTCTCACCTGTGTTTAACAAACTTTAATATATCTTTTTTCTCGTTCTTTAACCAACTTTCTTCTCTTAATAAAACAAATTCTACTAGCCAACTTCTCTGCATCTCGCTTCAGATATATTCATTTTTAATCAATCTTTTTTTTTATTAAAAGTGTTTTATTAACCAGCTTCTCTTGTTAGAATGCTTATCAACCAACTTTCCTTCCTGCTTCTCGATTTATTAACCAAGGTCCCTGTTTTCTTCACGTTTTTATTAAAAACTTCCTCTTTTTCTTGTTATGTTCGCCAACCTTATTTTCATTGGTAGCGCGCGGTAAGGGTGTGTGTTTTCTTATAGCAACGCCACATCTGCTGTGTCCACCGAGGGAAATCGAACCCTTGATTTTAGCGTTGTAAATATAAAGACTTACCGCTGTCCTACCGGGGGACATGCAGTAATCAAGGGTTTACTGAGGCTGAAGCTACCTACAAAATGTGCCTTAGTCTCCTCTATAGCCCATCCCCACCCAACCAAAAGTGTCCACTGTTAAAGCTGGCTCACTTCCTGAATACTGCAGTATGTGTGCACTAATTATTTAGAGTGCAGTCCCCACAATTCGATGAGCAGCACACTTCAGCATCCTTTACTGGAAATAGGTTAGCACTGCCCCTGTTTCTTCTTTTTGCTTTTTTAAATAATGTCCTCATCTATGCATTTACATCACAACTTCTTTCTGATTCAAGTATCTTGGGAAAATTAGCAGTAATTAAAGTCTACATGTGTTCTGTAATTTCATTTATTGCCCTACGTGATTAGCTAGATACTTTAGATAATTGCACCACCAAACAATTTTGTATGAAAGTGGATGGTCTGATAACTACAGTATAGAGTAGCACCACTTTACTATAGAAATTATACGAGCTAAATTTAAAACTTTGAAAACAAACACATCACCTTACCTTACAAGTCATTCGTATTGACGATGACCTATAAACTTGTTAAAAGTCATCACGTTATTTACCGTACCTTACAACTCAGTTCATCTTGGTCTTCTGACACCAACAGAAGAAAGCTTTTGTCTGCTCCGGTCTTGTCTTCCAACTAATAATAATTAATGTGAATTTAATATAGAAAACAGCTGATAAAAAGCAGAGAACAATATTTTCGTTTACACGATAAAATACTATAATTTCATAATTCATATTGGAGCTAGTCGAGTTTGCCAATATAATATCAATCATTAATTCAACAGAGAAATATGAAAATAATTATTTTAAGCGAAACACAGGAAGATTGGGTTCAAGACACGGCAGCTGTTACAAAGTTTAAAACTCAAATAGATCCTTAAAGACTTCAATTAAGAAATTTACCTTTTTCATTCACTCTTTTCTCTAGCAGACCATAGTCTGCGCTAATTTAGATGTGAAACCATTTAACGATAGTTAAGTCAAATATTTTAAACTCCACATACGTATGCTAGTAATTTTTGACAAATGCCGAAAGTTTATCCTTTCTCAATTTATTCTCTTAAACTATTAAAAAGATTATTATCGTACACTAACTATAAAGCTATTTAAATAACGTGATGACCTTTAACAAGTTTATGGGTCGTCATCAATACGAATGATTTGTAAGGTAAGGTAAATAACGTGATGACCTTTAACAAGTTTATAGGTCATCGTCAATACGAAGAAAAGAAGTGCGTTAGAATGCTTTTTTTTATGTTTTCAATGTTCACCTAATTATTATAACGATCATGAAAGATAGACAGATAGACGCAAGCAAACATAAATAGATAGAATGTTAGAGGAAAAAATCTACTAAATAGTATGAACCTAATCACAATAGAAACATGTACTGATAACATTTGAGCAGTATTATTTCTTCATTAAATGTATTGTAAAATACGATAATTACTAACAGGATAAGAATGATTATAAAACAGGTGATCAACATAATTAACATCATAAACAAATACAGCAACCTACGAATATCTGAAACTATGAATAAGCCCAGAAATAATCCCAACAAAAGACATAAATCCTAATTTAAATAACATGAAATGAAGATTATTTCTAATTCACAAATCCCTTATCTCCCATTAATTTATATTACAATGTCAAAATATGTTTTCACTCTCGTAGTCAGCAGCTGTACATGTTTATTGTATTGCTGGCTTTTTCGTGTGATTAATTGTTTTATTTTACAGACGTTCCCTATCTTTTAGTTCTCTTAGATTTTTTCCCTTCAATTTATCGAAGTTTCTGTGACGTGAGATTAAAGAAAAAAAAGTACGAATGTAAATAACTCTTGCATGATAAATTACTAGTTCTCCAAGAATATTCTTGGAGTATTTTTGACAAGGATTAGAATTCCTGGGAGAAAGGAGAGACCACTGACATTATCATGACGAGTTGTCTTGGAAATATAATCTATTGGCAGTACTGTATGCCTGGCTCCAGCTAAGATTGATTAGTGACTCCAACGCGAAACCGAAATTATCCATAAAAGCACCTAGAGAACTTGATCGATCCCTATCACTTGGTAATATATATATGAGCTACAAAGATTAAATAGGTAACATTAATGTATAATAAAGTTAGTTTGCCTTACTCACAACAATAATATATTTTATTTTTATTTGTACAGGTAGTTGGAGATAAAATTCTTGATGAAGAGGTAAAGTTTTTGGTAAGTAGTAAGACACAACGCATAAATATTCTGTTTCATAACGATAATGTTGGCAACTCCTTGTGTGAGACACTTTTTAATCTTATATCAGCTGATTCTCAATATGAACAGTAAGTTGTTC